GACACTTCCACGGCGCAACGCGACAGCACAAAACGAAACCAAATCGAATCGAGAACTCGAGCGAAAATACGGACTGAACAGCACGACAGTCGAGCAAAGAATGATAATGCGAAGGCAGAGTTAGCTACCTGTTATATAGACAACCAGCTCTACCGGTACCAAGGCCACCAAGTTCATTTAAGAATAGAGTTAGAGTAGAATTTTTTAAGAACTACAAAAATAGTCAAGGTCAAGGCTATTTTTTCTCATTGACCGCCATTGATAATAAGTTAGAAATTTGGAAAAGTGGATGGAACGCTTTGGATGCATATTATGGTCAAAAGAAGTCAAAAGAAATCATTCATTATCGTACAGTTTTTTTCCTAGAAATTTTTATTAAATAGTATTTTCTTGCAGAATATGTTAAAAGGGAGAGAACTTTTATGTATTTTTTTATGCAGAATATTCAAAATGGGAGGGACTTCAAATGTTAATCCTCCCTCCCCCACCAAATGTTACAGAGCGTCATCAAAATATATGGAATGTTGAGATGTTGAGATTGTTAGAGTGAATTTTCTCTTTCAAATTTGAATGTTTTGGCTCTCTGGGGATTGGTAGTAAAGCGGTTAAAAATGTATGGGAAAAAACCTTTTTTATTTGATTCTGGCTTATTCAACAAAAATTTCCAGGAAAAAACTGAACGACTAAGTCCATAAACGATTTCTTTAGGTTGTCGTCAACTTATTTGGGAAAGCTATGTGGAATTTACATGGATTTCATGCATTACATATGTGATATATTTTTTGAGTGTATCCCCTGTTTCCATGTTTGGTTACAAGATTACAACTCTGGAGAGCATTTTGTGTGGTCGTTGGGAGCGTGTGGTTTTGAATATGGCGATGCAAAAGTGTGCAAAATATTACGCAATTCCATCCTCCATAAAAGGTTAATTAATTCGACACTTTTGGACAATGCTGGACATTTACCAGTTTTTCAATAGTTTCTTGTTGAAAATCAACATTTGGAAGCATTGTTGTCGATGCGTAGCCATATTTCTGATCGATTGGTGATTAAATTATTGAAATTGGACCAGGGGCAGCTGAGTTATTAACGTTCAAAATCTTTCACAATTTTGTTTCATGTTCCATTTTCGGTTTTCAGAAAGTGTACCCCTATATAGAAATCACAGACATAGTCCTACGTCAAAAATCCAGATCCAGGATAAAAAGATCTGGACTCAGGTTCTACACTGATTGGAAAAAATAAAGTGCCCTTCTCATAATTTCTGGAATTCCTCTCATTTATTTGATTCAAATTGAAGTAAGCAAACTGAAGTCTTTTTGGTATCTTATTTTTTAATATTGTAGTGACAAAAAAAAAGCTCACACTTCAAAAATCGATATGTTTTTGATAAGCTTCGATAGGAAAACCCCTCAATTGTTTATGTTTTGATATTTTGAAATGTTTTGAAGCAAACGGCTCGACCTGGTGCATTGCACACGTGATCGCATTTGATTCAGTTGGAAGCAAAAAAATGGAGAACGCAGTGATTTCGAAAGCCTTGTGCATCCGAAAATTGGTGGTTCGTGATGTGCAAAACGGTGAATCGCACCGAGCTGTCACCAGGAAGTACAGAATCAGTAAGGCAGCGATTGGGAGAATTCTTCTGAAACTAAGAACGTTCGGATCAGTGGTGGATCGCCCTGGCAGAGGTAGGAAGCACAAAATGGATGCGGAAACGGATACCAAGATCAAGGAGAACCCGAAAAACACTGTCCGCGAGATACAGGAAACCGTTCAGGTATCAGTTTTCGGTCGAACTGTTCGTCGTCGTCTCGTAGCACAGGGGTTGAATAGCAAAGTTGCCCGGAAGCGCCCATTTATCAGCAAGACAACCAACACCAAACGGCTTAAGTTTGCTAAGGAGCATGCTGATAAGCACTGGTTCTGGGAAACGGTTTCTCTGGACGGACGAATCAAAATTCGAGCTGTTTAACCGAAAGTTTCGGGTTCGTGTGTGGTGCAGATCGAGTTAGGAGCTTCAGGAGCGCCACATCCAAGGCACGGTGAAGCATGGAGGAGGAAATGTGATGGCCTGGGGGTGTTTTTCGTGGGGTGGAGTGGGAAGCCTAGTGAAAATCGACGGGATAATGACGGCAAATTCCAACATCCACATCATGCGGGAAAATCTGGATGTTTCGCTGATCCAGACGGGCTTTGAAGAGAAGTTCGTATTTCAGTTGGACAATGACCCGAAGTATACTGCCAAGAAGACCAAGTCTTTCTTCCAGTCTTGTTGGATAAATCCGCTGGAATGGCCTCCACAAAGCCCGGATCTCAACCCCATCGAAATTTTGTGAGCGATTCTTGATGCCTGGGTTGATAAAAATGGTGTTACCAATAAAAATAACGGCTGTGTTAATTAAAAAATATACCAATATAAAACCTTATACGGAGTGAGATTGGGCCAAAACATAAATTTGATTAAAATATCTTAAAATATGTTATGTTATGATCACAATGTGATTCACATAAAAGTGCGTTCAAACTTTTGCTTGCTTGTCGACATTTTTAAAACGTGTTTTTCTACTATTTATAACACTTAATTTTGCAGCACTATTTAAATAAAACAACTAGGTCATGTTATCTTCAATTTACTCCAGGAGCTCAAGGAACATATGCTTGCAATCATTTTCTGTAGTTCAAGATATTTTTATCAATAAACATTTTTCAATTTCGACCCAATGTCACACGCTAGGCCCAATGGCACCCCGTCTTACTGTCTTGAGTGTTTTTTTTTCGTTTCTTGAAATATTCCACCTAGCAATCAACAGCAGAGCAACCGAGCTCCATAAAAGTTTTCGGTAATATTTATCGAGCGTCCGGTAAAATTTGACATTTCATCAGGAGTTTAAAGGTCATTCCGTAATAGTTTAGTTCACCGAAATGATTACCGAGTAGTTGAAATTTCGGTGAAAAAAATTACCGACGTTGGTGCTTATTTCTAAGTCCGTAAGATGCAAGTCAATCTGTTTCGGTTTTTTAAGCAATCATTTATATTATTAAAATTTATATTTTGTGCACTGTTGAATCTTTTCACTGACTAAAACCTACCCGTAAAAAGCACAGCTTCCAAAAAGCTGCATTTGTAATTATGTATTCAATTAATTTTGTTGAAGAAAATTAGTGTAGCAAGGCGCCTGCACATAGTTATGGGCAATCCAATCTGGACGGCTTGATCAAGTCCCACTGACAAATCATATTCAGCTTGGCGCTGTATGAAGGGCCAAAAGCGGAGGGGTGGACCGGTAAGCAGAAACACCCACACGAAACCCACCGGGAGCAGAATAAAAATCTCCTTCCAGCAGCCAAGATCATATAATTCGCAATGGAACAAGCCCTCGTCCTGAAGGATTCCCCATGAGTGTGGAGAAGAGCCCGGCCTCTATCCACGAAATGTTAGCAACAGGAAGTTGGCAATCCCACTCTCCCTATCCAAATCGCTTCAATTGGTTGCCCTGTTGGACCATTGAAGAAAATTAGTCATACCACACACCTAAAAATGAACGGTTTCCAATACATTTGATTGGGATGCTTATAAATCTAGATGCTATATCTGCATTGTTGCTTATATCTGATGTTGGATTGTTTTGTTTCTAGTAAAAGGTCAACGACAGAATCCACATCAGTCATTCATCAGGAATCGTTGCCCCACCTTTCTATGTCACACTGAGTGCAACCATTTCGTAGCGTCACTTACGCCACAATCAGTGCGGAATGTTGCAAATATGGCTGCATCATAAGTCTATTATTATGTGTATTCCGTGGCATTTTCACTTCCACTAATTGTTTCGTCGTTCAACAACGCATTCGAAATCGAATAATAATTCAAACTAGAAATATCCACAAACCATAACAATAACACCCATCACGTGACTCAGCGTTGCACCAATCGGCCACCCACGTGATCATCCAATAATCACCACGCGTCTCCACCAAGTGCTGGCGAAAGGTAAAATACATAAAAATCAACCCCCCACAACTCAGGTGGATCATAGCAAATTTGAAAAACCTGGTCAGTTCCTTCCGCTTCTAAATAAGACACAACCAGCTGCGTAGCTACCGTTCGGTCAGGGCAGTGTGGTGGGGGGGAGGTAAATTTATTTCCATTCGCATTCTTACGACCCAAGTCACCACAGTTGGTTCATTTCCAGCCGTAATCTTTCGCCAGCCTATCGATATGTGTTGCAGAATATGTAATAAGAAACACGTGCTGCTGTTGGCGTTGCTGCAGAACTCATGTAGGCATATCTGTAAGAGACCCCGAGCAGCAGACCATAATGTTTATGTTGTGCGAGAAAGTTCTTTGCTTCCTTGCCTCCTCTCCTACGTTTGGGATTGGGATTTATGTCCATCTTCACAATTAAAATGTAGTTGCTGTATCAACAGCAACGGTGGTCGACAGTGGCGTAGCGGGAATTCTGGTAATCGTAGCAGTTGGTTAGAAACCTCCTTCTACACCCCGGACGAGTCCGGAATCTGGCAGGCAGCGAGTGACGATTTATGCGTGTGAGTTCTCCCCACCACCATCGATCCTTCTGCAACTCCTTCCATCCAAGAGGATCGCTCCCCAAACCGAGGTTGATTTGTCTGCTCGAATAAATTTCTCCGTTTCCTCTTGCGCATTGTTTTTATTTTTGTATTAATTTTATTATATACAGTTGGGTCGTCGTGGGTCCGTTTCCAGCATGCGAGAGAGGGAGGCTGGAAGTGATTTGTTTACAATCAATTTTTATTTTGTATACAATGGAGCTAACTCACGCACATCCTTCGTCTGTGTCTTGTGCTCTTGGAGAAATAAAAAATGAACACATGGCAAGGTGTGAAGATTTTTTTCCCCAAACAGTAATGCAGTGTATGCTAATTTTAGACCTGAGACGTCGTAATGCGAGGGTTTACTAAAATAATTACATGCAATATGCTAGCTGATATACTCAGCGAGGAAGAAAAATGAATACGAGTTGTTGATTTTATAAAGTTTCCATTTTTTATTCGAGAAGAAAAATACGCTCACAGCAATAACAAATGGCCAAAGGCGAAAAATTTAGATTTGTTTAAATTGGTTTTGCTTTGCAAAAATCGGTCTAACTACTTTGGATTGGGTTTTTACTTCTTTGTGAGAAATCATGCACATACATTATTTACTGAGCATCTACCGACGGAGATGATGACGAGACCGGCTTGACGGGTGCGGCGGTCATCTTTTGGCGCTTGACCCAGCACAGGATGTTTACCCAGGCGAAGGCACAGGACCCGACGTATACGACGCGGAACTTTGGAGGCACCAGGAGGAAGTTGAGCGTTTGCGCTGGCATCCAGAAGAGGCAGGACCGGGCAAATGTCGGTAAGAACTTTTGCTTGCACTCTTCCAGGACGTTCGACTGACGCTCCATCAGGGACATTCCTGTGGAATAGGATAATTTAGGAAATCAAATTAGTTGGAGTAGATTAAAATATGTGATTTTTTCATTGCTTTTGAGTGTTGAAATATGATTCTCCTAACGACTGACAGATTTTTGTATTTTTTCGGACCCTGATCTGGTGATCTACTTTGTACGATGCAAGCATCTTTGTACAATACATCAATTCTCTATCTTTTGCAGTTTTTTGAGAAACGTATGGTTTTTGAATAGAGACTTCTAAACACAATGTTTTGTCAATAACATTTCTGGTAGTGATTTTCCGTCACCGATATTTTCTACTTTTTTTATATCTTGAATATACGTCATTTTATCTTTGGAAGCAAGTTTCTATATTGTATATTTTATGAGTTATTCATAATTTTGACAAAACTAGTACAACTAAGAACAACTTCTTAAAGTTGGAGGAAATTGGGTAAATCAAACTTACAGCATTTGAAAGAGGATCTAAAGTTTTCAATAGTTTTCTCCATCGATATGCTTATTGTGAATCTATAAGGAAATTGTATTGGAAACCGTAAAAAGAATATTTACTTGCCAAAAACTCGCAAATTGCTCTATAGTGGCCATATGTGGTTTACATAGCTGAACAAAGCACAAGGAACAACTATATCGAATACCACAAATCAATGCGACTGTAAAATTTATTAACCATTTGGATAAGTGCTTTGCGAATACCTACAGGCATATATGAGGCCAGCGAGCTTGCATTTTGTAGGCCATAAAATGCAGAACATTGAATGATTAATAATTTTTTCCACACAAGGAGAATCAATACGCAGTCTTCGATAAAGTTATTTTGTATTGTTTTTTCAATCTAAATCACAAATATGAGTGATTTTGTGACGAGAAATGTAGGATTTTTGTGTTATCAAATGAATATGTTCTTTCGGTTTACAATAAATTGTCTTATGCTTTCACAATATGTATATCGATGGAGAATAGTTCTGAAAACTAATTATTGTATATGGATTAAGCAGTGTTTTAATTTTTCTTTCAAATGGAATTTGTTTGGTTTGCTCAATTTCACCCGACTTTGAGATCTTGGTCTTAGAAAAAGTGCTATTTTTTGGTCATAACCACGAATAACTCATAAAATATTTAAGACAGAATTTTAGTTCCAAAGTTTAAATGACGTTTCTTTATGATGCACAAAAATTATACAAAAAAATAATATGTCGATGATGGAAAATCACTAACAGAAAAGTTATTGCTAAAACATTGATTTTGAGAAGTCTCCATACAAAAACCTTACATATCCCTAAAACTGTTAATGGTAGAGAGTAGATTTCTTGTACAAAAATGCTTGCATTAATATTATCTAAAACTTTGTCCAAGACACATTTTTTTCCAAAAGAACGAACTTATCATGAACACAAACTTCTCCAAAGACATTATATGCCTAAAATAGTCTGTTTTTGTGTAATTAATAAACCGCAATTTTTAGCGCATTTAAACCTGCACAGTGCGCGAATGGGCTAAAACGTGCAGTTTATGTTCGTGTTCCTCCCTTAGCTCAATCGGTAAGGGCGCAGTTACAAAGCAAGATCATGCTAGAGGTGGCTGGGTACGATTCCCGGTCCAGTCTAGGAATTTTTCGGATTGTAAAATTTCCCGACTTCCCTGGGCATATTGTATTTGCCACACAATTAACTATTAGAGTGGGTCATCGTCATATGGAAAAACGCAAACTTTACCTCATCAATTAAGAACAACCTTTTTTACTTTGACTATATGTTTTTAGTATTACTTCTACGTGAAGTCAACGATTTACATAGTTGAAGATGCTAATTTCAAATAACAGACTGTAGTGGTAATTTTTATACGATAGATGGAGTAGATGAAAGCATAGAGTTGATAGTTCCGTTAGAGTACGGCAGTGTGAAGATTATATATAGATATTAGAATAGCGAACTAGGACAACTTTTAAGGAAGGTACAAATCGGTTTTTTTCATCTCTCTTTACCAAACTCCCCCTTTGGAGAGGGATGGTGAGGGGTGTCCCCCCCACCACCACTGGCAAAAAGAGATGAAAACCGACCCGTTCAAGTACCAACTGTGTGTTTGAAACAGTTCTACCGATTTTTACCGCACTTCAATTGTTATTTGAAGGAAGGCATCCAGTCGTAGGTTTGGGAATTGCAACTATAACAAAATTACCACTACAGTCTGTTTTTTAAAATTAGCATCTTCAACTATGTAAATCGTTGACTTCACGTAGAAGTAATACTAAAAACATATAGTCAAAGTACATAACTCTGGATGGGAGCATACCATCAATTACTGTCAATGGTCGAAAGGTACAGTAGCAACACCTACCCCACCCGTGTCCCCTCGAGATCGTCAAGTCGACGATGACAGGAGCACAAATCGTGGTAGGGGTAAACAATAGTTGCAATTTCCAAACCTACGACTGGATGCCTTCCTTCAAATAACAATTGAAGTGCGGTAAAAATCGGTAGAACTGTTTCAAACACACAGTTGGTACTTGAACGGGTCGGTTTTCATCTCTTTTTGCCAGTGGTGGCGGGGGGGGGGACACCCCTCACCATCCCTCTCCAAAGGGGGAGTTTGGTAAAGAGAGAGGAAAAAAACCGATTTGTACCTTCCTTAAAAGTTGTCCTAGTTCGCTATTCTAATATCTATATACAATCTTCACACTGCCGTACTCTAACGGAACTATCAACTCTATGCTTTCATCTACTCCATCTATCGTATAAAAATTACCACTACAGTCTGTTATTTGAAATTAGCATCTTCAACCTTTTTTAATTTCATTTGAGGTCCCAAACAACTGTGCACAATATTGGGATGATTGGTTGTAACTCGGCATTCCGCATTGCGTTTGAAATTTGTATGGAAATTAGTATGGGAAAATCAACTTTTTTGCATTTTTATCTATAGAGACCACAATTTTGCATGAACCGTGCAACTAAGTATGTTTAAATATATCCCAGGAAGTACCTAACAACTTTGCCAGAGGAAGTTTGAAACTATAATGTATCTAAAAAAGTTATAACTATTCAAATATTTCTTGATAGAGCTGGAATTAGGGCGTAACAGCCTTTTGTTTAAGTGACTTATCTCATTGATTTCTAGGAATTCAAGATACGTTTACACAAACCAACATATTCATCGGGTAGGGGAAGGCTTCCCCTACTCGATGGTGATGTCGATTTGCCAGCGAGAGCCATAACATTCGAGATATCATCGAGAGAAGTCATTGTTTACAAAAGCCGTTACGCCCTAATTCCAGCTCTATCTAGATTTATTATTTGAATTAAACACCAAAAATCCCTTTTTCTGCCAACACTGCCGGTGTATCAATGGGAGTCAGATTCCAAACTGATATATTTTCGGAGTTTCTTATGAATTATTCAAAAACAATTGCTCTATATGTGTAGTTGGAGAGGGGTGGGGGGTAATAATATACCCCGCCCCCTCACTCATATGAATAGAAGTAAAGTCTCAAACTGAAATAACTGGAGTTTCTTATCTTATCGATTTGGTATGTTCAGGATGAATTCTTCAAACATATTTGCTCAATCTCATAAGCATAGTTAAAAAGGGGGGGGGGGGGGTACTCTAAAAGAAGTTTTAAAACGAAATTTTTTGCAGTGTAAATATTTAATATCCACTTGTCCGTTCATTTGATAGTGAGGAGATGTTGTTCGAATTATTAATCCAGCTGCTATATTATTTCTATATAAGCTTTTATTTGAAATATTAAACTGCCATTCGGGCCACCCGCATATAGAAAACACAGAAGTAGTCGTACGTCAAAAACCAAGAAAAGTAGAAAACTGAAACTGTCTTCACCAGTTTCGTCTCAGACACAGGTACAGGTACATGCGATACAATTAGTTGCTTCCTTGATGCTTGTCAACGATATGGCTGAATGAGGTGTGAAACTAATTTCTGACTTATCAAGAAATTCACCCGAGACCTAGTTCAACAGCAATGTTTGCTACAGGGGATGGAACAGCATCGAAAAGAGTACCCTTGAGAAATCGTAGCATATAATAAAATGAAATATAATCATTACAATCCATTGACATTTGTGTGAATTTATCTGACATTGTTTACTGCACCAAAAGAGTAGGGAAGGGAATCCCCCATTCTTGCTTTCAAACTGCTCTTATGAGATTGAGCAAAAACCCATCAAAATAACTCGAGAGATGGGAAACTCCGAAGTTATTTTAGTCTTTATGTTTACTTTCATTGATATAAGTGAGGGGCGGAAAGTACAGTAACCCCCCCCCCCCCCATATCTAACTACGCCTATTAAATGTAGCACATGCTTTTGAATACATCTGAACATGCCAACTTGACAAGATCAGAAACAGCGAAGTTATTGAAGTTTGAAGCTTTACTTCCATTTATATGAGTGAAGGGGGTGGGGTTTAGTAAGTCCCCCCCTCATTTCTTAATATGCCTATGAGATTGAAAAATTGTTCTTGAATAATTCATATGACCATACCAAATCGATAAGATCAGAAACTCCGAAGCTATTTCAGTTTGAAACTTTATTTCTATTGATATGAGTGATACCCCCCCCCCCCCCTCCTACTACGCATATGAGATAAATCTATTGTTTTTGAATATTTCATCTCAACGTTCCAAACTGATAAAATAATCAATTTCGAAATTATTTCAGTTTGGAGTTTGACTTTCATTGGTACACCGGTAGTGTTGGCAGAAAAAGGGATTTTTGGCATTTAATTCGAAACATTGATATTTGAACAGCTATAACTTTTATTAGGGGGATTCTAGAACAATACATTCTTTGGCAAAGTATTTAGACACTTTCTAGGCTATACTTTAACGTATTTAGATGCGTGGTTTGTGCAAAATTGTAGTCCCTAGTTATAAAGATGCAAAAAAGTAGGTTTTCCCATACTAATTTCCATACAAATTTCAAACGCAATGCGGAAAGCCGGGTTACAACCAATCGTCCCCAAGTTTTGCATAGTTGTTTGGGACC